AATAAAATGCAAGTACCAGATTTATGGCCAATGTTGTAGCATACCTGGTAAAGCTGCTGCCTGCAACACCGGCATTCCACATGGCCGCTGGTTTGTGTCAGGTTGCTCCACTTCTGAGCCAGTTCCTGCTGATGGCCTGAAAAAAGCAGCCAAAGATGGCCCGCATGTTTGGGCCCCTCCCACCCATGTGGAAGACCTGGAAGAAGCTCCTGGCTCTTGGCTTTGGCCTGGTCCTGCCTTGGCCATTGTGGCCATCTCGTGGAGTGAACCAGTGGATGTAAGAGCTCTCTGTGTATCTCTCTCTCTCTCTTTCTTTCTCTCCCTCTCTCTCTCCCTCCCTATTTCAATTAAATAAATCTTTAAAAAAAATTTTAAAGTACACAATGCACTGACTCAGTGGAGGAAAAAATCATATCAAATTGTAAGAACGTTTATGACTGTACAAAAAGAGGACAGACTTCAGCCTTTAAGGATGCATGCAGGTGAGTAGACCCCGTGGAAGGACAGACATACAGGCCTGTTATTCTCATTTGGGGTTCTTCATCTGAACAGATCACCGTAAATGATGTGCCTATTTTCTCAGTTCTCCCAAGAATGATACATACTTAGTACTCTCTAGAAGCACAAGACAGAAATAGGAGGAAAGTTAATTTATTACTTGCAGTGGATGTCTTACAGCAATGGTTCTCAAACTTAACATAACTCAAAACCACCTCTTTAGAGGACTATTCATTTGGGGCACAGCCTAGAGTTTGACTCTGAAGTGAGAAGCAAGAATGCATAAATCCAACAAATTCATAAGTGACAGTAACTTTGTTATTGCAGGGATTACATCTTCAAAACCCTTGCCTTAGGGAACTAAGACTTAATTCTCTTGTGGAATTCTGGTCAAGAAAAGCTGATATAAGTACACTTTCAATTTGAAAATCATTTATGCATTTTAATAAATACAAAAAAAAAGAGAGACCAATTAGAAGCAGCAGCATCACCCTTATTTCTATTCAAGATGTTATCTTGGCCTGTTTTACTAGTTTTTTTATTCAGCAACAAATGGAATATTCTTGGCTATTATTTATGTAGAAATGTATGCAAATCTATAGTAACCTACACGTGTTGTAAAGACCAAAAGTCATGCCAAATGCATTCAAAAGAGGTGAGTTAAAACAATGATTCTTCAAGCTTCTATAAAAGGATGGAGGTTCTTCGAATGGATAGCACTGATCCTTTCTTTTTTATTTATTTATTTTTTTTTTAAGAATTATTTGAAAGGCAGAGTTACAGAGAGAAAGGGAAAGACAAAGAAAGCTCTTGCACCCACTAGTTCACTCCCCAAATAGCAGCAATGACCAGGGCTGGACAACACCAAAGCCAAGAGGCAGGAGCATCATCAGGGTCTCCCACATGGGTAACAGGGTCACAAGTACTTGGGTCATCTTGTACTGTTTTCCTAGGCACATTAGCAGGAAACTGAATAGAAAGCAAGGCAGCCAGGATTTGAACCAGTGGTCATATGGAATGCCAGCAAACCAGGCAGTGGCTTAACCCACTGTGCCACAATGCCGGCCCCCTATCAATGCATTCATGTCAAAGCTAGTCTGGAGTGATTCAATTTGGGTGGCCTCTTGGTAATGTAGACCAAATATCGAATGAAATGTTTTTAACAGTGACAAGTCAGCAATACATTTCTGACTCATTTCTGAGGATATTTTTCTTTTACAGTTGCACTACATGACAACTTAGTTGGGTAAAAACCATTGGGCCTTAATACTCCATTTAACAGATTTTTCAAACCCATTGACATATGGCACTTTGGGTAAAAGAGAAATCTGAAGTGAGATTTCTGTTCTTCTGCATATAACTTGGGTTCACTAATCACTCCTTCATTCTGACTCTTAAACACTTTGCAGTTGGCTTTTTTTTTTCTTGAAGGTTTTAATCCAGAAAAATTAACCTGAGGTTTTATTTAGGTATGGGTCTCTTTTCACTGTTATTATCTAAAATGCTGTTTCCTTTCCACATATCTCAAGGTGGGAATTTTTGTTTTTACTTAAAATAAAAGAAAGTCTTCATCATTTCTGTTCCAAGTGTTTGATTTACTTTATATGAAGTAAATACCTTTGTTAGGTTCCCAGAATCTCTCTTCATAGGCACAACCACAAAACACTTGTTATCATTTTTTTAAAACATTCTGTGAGAGCTTTTCAAGTTTGTCCTCTACATGCACAAAGTCACTACATATAATATTAACTTTAACTCTTTCTAATCTACTGCATTTTCTAATCTACTGCATTCTAAATGGCATGTCAGCTATCATTGCTAACCATCCTTATGTTATCTGTTCCCCTTGGAACTGGTATCTCTTTTATCTGAGCTTGTTGACTCTTCACAGTTTTCTTCCCTGTTTTACTGGAGTCACATTGATTTTACAAGATAGTAGATACACCTACTGTTCTTTTGGTTTTTTGTTTTCACCATTTTTTTAAGATTTACTTATTTGAAAGGCAGAGAGTCAGACAGGGAGAGACAGAAAGAGGAAGAGGGTAGGAGAAAGATCTTGCATCTGCTAGTTCATTCCCAAAGCAGCCACAATAGCCAGGATTGGGCCAGACCAAAGCCAGACCCAGCATCCCAAAGAGGTGACCGCCAGGGGAGAGTACTTAGGCCTTTAGCAGCTGCCTTCTCAGGCACATTAGCAGAAATGCTGCATTAGAAGCCAGCACTCAAGTTAGTACTCCGTAATACAGGATGCTGGCATACAAGAAGTGGCTTAACTTGCTTAAGTTCAATGCTGGGCCCTGCCCACTGTTTTTGATTTATCTCTTATTTCATTTCATATTCAGAGATAGCTCTTCCTTCAACACTTTATTCTCTTTTCCTGTTCTACAGTGTTGGTTCCACAGAACTTTCATTTTCCCCATGTTAACACTTGCTTGACAAAAAAAGCACAACCTACACATACTTGGTATTCATTAACAAGCAGAGAGGAACAGACTAGACTTGATTCTGTTTCCTACCCACACTGCTAGTGGAATCCCCAAAATGATGTGCAAGATCTAAGCAATCCCCAATGTCCAAGACTTCACTTAAAGTGGTTCTACTTGAACAAGAGAGGGACTTCTAAACAACTAAATCTCTGAAACATTGAACAAGTATAATTTTTCAAAGTTCACCCACTGGCCTCCTACTACCTACCTACCCAAGTCTTACCTGTTCTTGGGACTCAGAACACACTACCCAAAAACATGGCACCTTAGAAGTCTCTCCTGCTTTCGCCCACTTTCTATGGGAAACTCGGGCATAAAGGAATTCCTTTACCTAACTCTTAGAAGTACATCATTGGGCTTTCATGTGACAGGTGTCCTGCCCTATTATAAGAAAAGGAATGATATATAGAGGTGCCAAGAAGAATCTGAATAAACAAACAAGCCTGGCCACATTTTTCCCAGTTTATCATTGGATCATACTGTTTTTGTTCAATCATACTTCTGGATGATTGTCTATTCTTAATCAAACCTAATTACAGAAATATAGCTTTTCTTGAGTCTGCAGGTCTTTATTTCAGAAGACTCTTGTGTCATGTAAAACTGATTAAACATGCTTCAAGATCTCTTGTTAATCTTTTATGAGAGGGATGTCAGCTATGATCTTTTTGATAACTAAGCAAAAGATCATAGTTTTTCTCCTCTATACTATCTTTCTAAGCTCACTTTTTTTAAACTTTTATTTAATAAATTTAAATTTCCAAAGTACAATGTTTGAATTATAGCAGCTTTTTCCCCCCATAACCTCCCGCCCACCTGCAACCATCCCATCTCCCCACTCCCTCTCCCATGCCATTCACATCAAGATTCATTTTCAATTATCTTTATACATAGAAGAAGATCAATTTAGTATATACTAAGTAAATATTTCAACAGTTTGCACCCACATAGAAACACAAAGTATATATATATACTCAAATAGTATATAAAATATACTATATATATATATATACTCAAATAGTATATAAAATACTATTTGAGTGCTAGTTATACTGTTAATTCACATAGTACAACACATTAAGGACAGAGATCCTACATGGGGAGTAAGTGCACAGTGACTCCTGTTGTTGATTTAACAATTGACACTCTTGTTTATGGCGTCAGTAATCACCCTAGGCTCTTGTCATGAGTTGCCAAGGCTATGGAAGCCTTTTGAGTTCGCCGACTCTGATCTTATTCCGACAGGGCATAGTCAAAGTGGAAGTTCTCTCCTCCCTTCAGAGAAAGGCACCTCCTTCTCTGATGGCCCGTTCTTTCCACTGGGATCTCATTCACAGAGACCTTTCACTTTAATTCACCGTCTACTCCATGAAGCCCTTCTCCTGTCAGGAAGACCCCTCACTTCTTTGAAGATCTATCTTTGTGAGAGTCAGGCCATACAATTGGCCACTTGCTCTGTAATTATTTCATGTCTTCTCCAACTCCGTATCAAGGCACTTATAGACTTCTTTGATATAGCACAGAGGCAGAGTAACTACTTCTCAACGGACAGAAATGAAGCTTAGCAAATACCATGACGACCCAGGCGATTCCCACCGAGGAGAAATTTTGTTAAATAGATACAATTTTGGCAACCACATCCCCACTACTGAGAGTCTGTGAAAAATCTCAACGTTCTAGTTTCTTTACTGAAACCATTGTTAGCAATCAATTTGGAAGAAGAAAAATATATACACACATATTTCTTAAAATGCAATTTGCTTTAAAAAGCTTATTAATTCAACAAGTTAAAATAATCTATCACATAAGTAAGACATAAGAGAGTCTTTTGGGTTTAGACAGTATATAATTGCTATAAGTCAATATTATATCAAAAATCTGACAAACCAAAATCCACACAAGTTTGTGTCAATGGGTTCTATTGTATAACACTCATCACTTCACTTCTGTTTAGTAGCTAGTAGCTTATTTTTAACATAATTCACTCATACCAACAATGAGAGCAAAAAGCCTACTTACCCCACCCATTGTAATTCCATCAATAAGTGCAACATATGGTTTCTGGCAACGAGCTAAAAGAAATAGAGTTGAAATTAGTTGTAGTGCTTAAAATTACTCACTTTCATCAAAAATCATGATATATGAACTTTTTTCCCTAGAATATTTTTGCAAGAAGTATCAAAGGCAACTAAATATGTGCCTTCTGAAATATATTATTTTTCAAATGTGAATCTATTTTCATTTAACAGCTCAATCTACAACTTGAAACAAATGAAACTTTCTGTAACTCAGCCACTGAGAAATATAGTTATCATCTTCCTTGTAACTCACCAATATTGTGGACACAATTATATTATAAACAAAATATTTGTTTTCTATATACCCAAAGAAGTACCTGGAGGGGCCAGTGTTATGGTACAGCTGAGTACAAAATTGCTTGCAATGCCAGTATCCCATACCATAGGGCTGTTTCAAGCCCCAGATGCTGCATTGCCCGTACAGCTCTCTGCTAATATGCCTGGGAAAGCAACAGGAGATGGCCCAAATGCTCGGGCCCCTGCCACCCATGTGGGAAACCAGAATGGAGTTCTGGTCTCCTGGCTTCAGCCTAGCCCAACTCCAGCTGTTGTGGCCATCTGGGAAGTGAATCAGCTGGTGGAAGATATCTCTCTCTCCTTCTCTCTCTCTGCCTTTCAAATAAATAAATAAATCTTTAAAAAAAAAAAAAAGTATCAGTATACATACTGAGGATTAGAGTATACAGAAACAAACATGGACTGGGAGTTAGAAGGCCCAGAATTTGATCTTAGGTCAACAGGGCATTAAATGAAAGAGATATATGGGTTATATAAATGAGTACAAATGCTCCTTAAGTTACAATGCAGTTTTGTTCCAATAAGCCCATTTTAAGTGAAAATATTACAAGTCAAAAATATGTTTAATAGACCTTACCTACCATTACAGCTTAGCAACACAATACACTGTAAAGCATCAGTGCTGACCCTTAGGGCGTATGCAACTGACTGGGAGCTGAGGCTTCTCTCCGCTGGCCGGAATCACAAGAGTATCACATGGACATGATTATCCCAAGAAAAGAACAAAAGGTGAAACACAGTTTCTACTGAATGTTTACTGCTTTTGGACCACGACAGAGCTGAATTTTTTTTTTAATTTTTTTATTTAACAGATAGAGTTAGTGAGAGAGAGAGACAGAGAGAAACATCTTCCTTCCGTTGGTTCACCCCCCCCAAATGGCCACCATGGCCGGTGCTGCACCGATCCGAAGCCAGGAGCCAGGTGCTTCTTCCTGGTCTCCCATGCGGGTGAAGGCACCCAAGTACGTGGGCCATCCTCCACTGCACTCCCAGGCCACAGCAGAGAGCTGGACTGGAAGAGGGGCAACCGGGACTAGAACCCGGTGCCCATATGGGATGCCGGCGCCACAGGCGGAGGATTAACCAAGTGAGCCACTGCACCAGCCCAAGCTGAAAAATTTTAAGTTGAACTATCTTAAATCCTGAACTATCTGTATACAATAAGATGATATTTATGTAAATTTTAAACACAAACTAATACTCTTTTAGTTAATACATATGTAGTGAAAATACAAAATAAGGACCAGGAGGATCCACTACCAATTAATGACAATGGTCGTCTTTTGAGGAAGAATAATGGTTACTTCTGGTGAAAGAAAAGAAGGGCACTGAAGAAAGCAACAAAATGGACACAACCGTAACTTTAAAACGTGTAATACTATATTTCTTTTAAATGAACTTTAAAACATCAAGACAAACATAATACTGATACCTGTTAATTATGAACTGGTGAGTACACAAGTATTTATTATGTTATTCCTTATAACTTTTGAAATACATGCTTGATAAAAGTAAATATGACTTCACTGCCACTGAAGCTGTAACCTTGGCTACAAAGAAATTTTTTTCAGAGTTCTTTAAGAATTAGAAAATGATGCTTCGTTCTATAAACAAAACTGGGTCCCACATTGTATTTTTTCAAGAAAGCCAAATGTATGATCAGTAATTTATATTTTCTCTCTAAGATTTATTTATTTGAAAGGCAGAGTTACGGGGTGGGGAGAGGGCAGGGAGATATCTTCCATCCACTGATTGATTCCACAAATGGCAGCAACTGCCAGGGCTGGACCAGGCCGAAGCCAGGAGCCTGGAATGTCATCCAGTTCTCCCATGTGGGTACAGGCGCACAAAGACTTGGGGCATCTTCCACTACTTTCCCAAGCACACTAGCAGGGAGCTGGATTGGAAGTAGAGCAGCCAAAACTCAAACCAGCATCTATTATGGGATGCCAATATTACAATAAGCAGCTTAACCCATTGCAGCACAATACTGGCCCCCCAAAATCCATATTTTCATACTGATTTTATGACAAAGAGTAGTTAAGTACAGCCTACTAATATTAAAGTGTAACTGTCATGGACTACACAGAATAATTTAATCAATTATATTTATGCCCAGGACATTGTATAAGCACATAAAGATTTAAATAAGAGTGTCTACTGATAATAATTTAACAAATTATATTGTCCATTTCTTTCTTGATTCCATTTTCAAAGCTCCAAGTAGAATATACATACCAATAGCATTATTCAGCAAATATTCCTCTCTGAAGAAATCTTGACTCATCTTCTGTTTTGCCTTTGCAGCTTCTGAGATCACTAAGGAAGGAAGGAACACACTCATAAAAGGTGTTTTACAGAGGGCAGACAGGTGACCTACTGTCTAGGACACTCCTTGGGACACCCACATCCTATACCTGATTCAAGTCTTGGCTCTGTTTCCAATTCTATCTTCCTGCTAATGTGCACCCTGGCAGGCAGCAGATATTAGCCAGAGAACCAATTCTGATGTCTGCTGTAGAACTGCCTACTTGCTTGTTGTACAGGGAAAAACATCCACACATCTGTTGTCAGAGGAATCTGTGCTGTGACACTAGCAGAAACTGTGTTTGAATTGGGGTTGGTTTCTCCGTCTATACTCATGGACTTACTATATTCTTATAACACTTCTTGGAAAATGATATGGTTAAATTACAAATTATATATTGCAACAAACTGCATTTTCTTTTGACTTTTTTCCTCTGGCATCTGAACAAACATTTTCAAGATATACCCTTCTTTGGCAATATATCATAACATAAAGTACATTACACATGTTTATGTGTGTGTGTATATATATATATGTATGTGTGTGTGTATATATATATATATATAGTATATTTTATCTGGTTAAATATTTCTGCCACATTTATTTCACCAAAAAACATTTATTGAGCACCTACTATACACTAACCACTATTTCTGGAGCTACAGATAACAGGATAGCAATGTAAGATGATTACCCTAGAGTTCACAATAATAAGAAAAACAGGCTATTAAAATACTTTGTGCTGTATCAGCACATATGAATATAAAGGATGGGGTGCTTTGGGAAAGAAGGCTTCCCTAAAGAGGTAAGCCTAACCCAGCCTGAAAAAATAAACAGGAATTTTATAGGAAATGATAGGAAGAGGCTCAAGTAGAGGCACCAATACCTATAGAGGCATGGAAGGAAGGAAGGAAGGAAGGAAGGAAGGAAGGAAGGAAGGAAGGAAGGAAGGAAGGAAGGAAGGAAGGAAGGAAGGAAGGAAGGAAGGAAGGAAGGAAGGAAGGAAGGAAGGAGAGGGGAGGGGAGGGGAGGGGAGGGGAAAGAGAGAGAGAAAGAAAGAAAAAAGAAAAGAAGAGAAAGAGGAGAGAAAAGAAGAAAGTCAGGAATGAAGTAGTATTTATGTATGTATTTACTTGATGGGAAGGAGGGACAGAAGAAGTAAAAGAGGGAGAACAGGGACAGGGAAGGAGAGAGAGAGAGAGGGAAGAAAAAACAAAACAAGAATGTTCACACTCTCCAGTTCATTCCTCAAATACTCCTAAAGGAGAAGGCTGGACTGGGGCCGGGCTACAGCTGAAGCTAGGCACTCAGGGGTCTCCCACAAGGGTGGCAGGAACCCAATTACTTGAGACAGCACCTGCTGCCTCCCGGTGTCTTCACAGGTGAGAAGCCACTGAACCCAGGCATTTCAGTATGGGATGCAAACTCCTTAACTGCAAGGCTAAAAGAATACCCTATGAATCAAGTAGTTTCAAGACTAAAGGGTAATGGTAAAGTTGAGGCTATAGAGGTATTTATTATTTATGTAAGTAGAACAAATTTCATGTATTTCACAAATAAAGATTTAGAGCACAATGATACTTCCCAACCCAGACTCCCTCCTGCCCATGCTCCCATCCCCCCATTTCCTTATTTTCCTTTTAAATTTTACAGTGACAAATTTTTAGTTCATTTCATAATCATAACCTTAACTATCCACTAAACAAAGAATTCAACAAGTAGTATAGTAGCAACCATTCTTCTCAAGAGTATAGGCAAAGACTGTAAACAAAAATAAAATCAGAAATGTCAAATTTGCTCACATACTTTTTCTTTTTTTTTAACTTTTATTTAATGAATATAGATTTCCACAGTACAGCTTATGGACTACATTGGCTCTCCCCACCCCGATGACTTCCCTCCCACCCACAACCCTCCCCTTTCCCGCTCTCTCCCCTTCCATTCATATCACGATTCATTTTCAATTTTTATATATACAGAAGATCAGTTTAGTATACATTAAGATTTCAACAGTTTGCACCCCCATAGAAACACAAAGTGAAAAATACTGTTTGAGTACTCGTTATAGCATTAAATCTCAATGTACAGCACATTAAGGACAGAGATCCTACATGGGGAGTAAGTGCACAGTGACTCCTGTTGTTGACTTTACAAACTGACACTCCTGTTTATGGCATCAGAAATCTCCCTATGCTCCAGTCATGAGTTTCCAAGGCTATGGAAGCCTTTTGAGTTCGCGGACTTCGATCTTATTTAGACAAGGTCATAGTCAAAGTGGAAGTTCTCTCCTCCCTTCAGAGAAAGGTACCTCCTTCTTTGAAGACCTGTTCTTTCCACTGGGATCTCACTCACAGAGATCTTTCATTTAGTGGTTTTGTTTTGTTTTGTTTTGTTTTGTTTTTGCCAGAGTATCTTGGCTTTCCATGCCTGAAATACTCTCATGGGCTTTTCAGCCGGATCCGAATGCCTTTAGGGCTGATTCTGAGGCCAGAGTGCTGTTTAGGACATCTGCCATTCTATGAGTCTGCTGTGTATCTCGCTTCCCATGTTGGATCACTCTCCCCTTTATTTATTCTATCAATTAGTATTAGCAGGCACTAGACTTGTTTATGTGATCCCTTTGACTTTTAGTCCTTTCATTATGATCAATTGTGAACTGAAATTGATCACTTGGACTAGTGAGATGGCATTGGTACATGCCACCTTGATGGGATTGAATTGGAATCCCCTGGTATGTTTCTAACTCTACCATTTGGGGCAAGTCAGCTTGAGCATGTCCCAAATTGTACATCTCTTCCCTCTCTTATTCCCACTCTTATGTTTAACAGGGATCACATTTCAGTTAAATTTTAACACTTAACTGTGTATTAATTACAGAATTAAACCAGTAGTATTAAGTAGAACAGACAAAAAAAATACTAAGAGGGATAATGTATTAAGTTGTTCATTAACAGTCAGGGCTATGCTGATCAAGTCACCATTTCTCATAGTGTCCATTTCACTTCAACAGGTTTCCTTTTTGGTGTTCAGTCAGTTGTCACCGATCAGGGAGAACATATGATATTTGTCCCTTTGGGACTGGCTTATTTCACTCAGCATGATGTGTTCCAGATTCCTCCATGTTGTTGCAAATGACTGGATTTCATTGTTTCTTACTGCGGTATAGTATTCTAAAGAGTACATATCCCATAATTTCTTTATCCAGTCTACCGTTGATGGGCATTTAGGTTGGTTCCAGGTCTTGGCTATTGTGAATTGAGCTGCAATAAACATTAGGGTGCAGACCGCTTTTTTGCTTGCCAATTTCATTTCCTTTGGGTATATTCCAAGGAGTGGGATGGCTAGGTCGAACGGTAGGGTTATCTTCAGGTTTCTGAGGAATCTCCAGACTGACTTCCACAGTGGCTTGACCAGTTTGCATTCCCACCAACAGTGGGTTAGTGTCCCTTTTTCCCCACATCCTCGCCAGCATCTGTTGTTGGTAGTGTCGCTCCCCATCTTCGTGGAGGAACGACACAGGACCCTGCGGTGTTCTTTCGTCTGCTCGGCCCTCCCCGGGTTTGCTGCTGGTTCTTCCCGGGTTGGCTACTGTCCCTTCCACCTCCGTGGAAGGGCAGTTCCCCCTGGCCACATTCCCCACTTCCGCGGGGGAGCGGCACACCGCCGGCCGGCTCTCTCGGGGGCTGCACAGGTGTTCCCCTTAGATGTTCCCCTTAGATGTTCCTGGTGCATGCCGTCTCTCTCCTCCTTTATAGTCCTCCTCTGCCAATCCCAACTCGGCTGCCCACACGCCGAGTACGCTGCTCTCCTCCAATCAGGAGCAAGTCCTACAGCTTATTGGCTGAACTGGAGGCAGCTGTGTAGAAGCTGTTTTCTCCTCTCCCAGCGCCATATTGTGGGAGAGCAGATGCATAGAATAAGTCTTAATTCCAGTAACTTAGTCTAGTCCGGGTTGCTCCCCACAGGTAGATTTCTGTATGTGAGCCATTCTAACTGGGGTGAGGTGAAACCTCATTGTGGTTTTGATTTGCATTTCCCTGATTGCTAGTGATCTTGAACATTTTTTCATGTGCCTGTTGGCCATTTGGATTTCCTCTTTTGAAAAATGTCTATTGAGGTCCTTGGCCCATCTCTTAAGTGGGTTGTTGGTTTTGTTTTTGTGGAGTTTCTTGATCTCTTTGTAGATTCTGGTTATTAACCCTTTATCTGTTGCATAGTTTGCAAATATTTTTTCCCATTCTGTCGGCAGAAGGTCTGTCTCAGCAAGGCATGAGAATGACAGCTGCAGTCTTCTTGGTGGTTTTAGGTTTTTTGGGGATTACACTCTGCATAAGAAAGCCAGAACTTCCTGGTGGTCCTGCTAATGATTGCTGTATTTCTAATTTTAGGGAAGAGAGCTTAGTCTGATAACCCCCAAAATGTCCATTGCTTTGTAGAATTTTTATCAAGCCAAATGTTAAAGTAGGAGAAGGAGTTAATGCTTTACACAAGGTTGAGCTGTTCATGGAAAAAAATTAAAAGGCAACAGGCTCCCTGGTGTATACTTTCTACTAAAACAAAGATAAATGTTATCAAAGCTTTAATTCAATAGGTACACCAAATGCAACAATGGTTAGGATGTGAAAACTGTGGAATAGATCTAAGTGAACCTTTAGATAAGTACAATAAAGAAATTAAAGTTACAGAAAGAACTGCAAATGAGGGGATACATTTTAAAAAGTGCCTGTTTTGAACATTGGGGCTTCTAGTAAAGATTAGATTAGGAAGGTAATACTCTAGCTTCTGTAACCACTTTCTGCATAGCTCAGCAGCACTCCAGGCCTTGGCTTGTGTGGGCAACCCGTTATCTCACACCTGTCTGTGATAGTAATCCATGATCTGAACATAATTTTGAAAATCGTTATCTCCCACCTGTGATTGTAACCCATGCTCTGAATATGCCTTTGAAAATCAAAGAAATTATAACTAGATGAAAATGGAAAAAAACTTGCTATTATAAGAATCATTATGT